ATAATGAACATAGCAGTCGTCATTTACTCCCGACATCTAAGCCGCCGAAGACGCAGGGGATTACATTTGTCTTTGAAGGGAATGCGCCCCCGATCTGCCTAAATGCGTTTATATTCGCGCGAATCATTCACGATCCAGCCTCACCTACAGAAGAAGTGAGTCTAAGGTTTTTTTTTAATGAATCTTTGCAAATCACCTTTCCTAATAATGTGCTAGTTAGCAAGTTCCGTGGCTAAAGTAAACAGTATCATGAGAATGGCTCGTCACCACACAGAAGAGAGGGGCGGGGTGAGCAGAGCTCATTAGCATTTACAGGAACATGGACTAAAACGGCGTGCTAAAAACAGAGCTGATTTTGACAGGGTAAAAAGGGTGTTGTTTTACACTACCATTGAGGAATTTAAACCAAAGTATGTTATAGACTTTTCATTAAGACCCTAAAGAATCATAAAAAATGGGCATCTGATGACCCCTTTAAGGTTTTATTTTCAGGAATCTCTTAATGAGGCTTTTTTCGTTATGACAGTTGCTCCACCTTGTTGTTTTTAACTTTAATATATATATATTAGAATAAATTAATATATAAGATGAAAAAATTGTTTCATGCCACTGACCCTCATATAATCAAGCTGAAGTTTGCTACCTGCAGAAGGTTTCTCAATGTTAAACATAAGGGGATGTCAAGGATGATGTGATCATTGAAGTTATGGAGACGATCTTTCCACTCTTGATACCGATAAAACATCCCACACTGCGGGCACTGCTTACAGTAGGTGGTGACATCTATCAATTAAAACAAGTATACATCACAAAACATTGTAGCTGAATAGCACAAAAGCATACAGACAATATAATCTACCTTTAATAATGCACCAATTGGTCAGGATTTTGGCGTTCTGTGTAATTAGCATAGGATCGCTGAGGAGCACATCCCCTGGACATTCCTGACACACGGTTTCACTTGGACAAAGGTTTTGTGGGTAATCTTTGCATGGCGATGGCACCCGCATATCTTCAGGAAGAACAGCTGGTATCTTCTTGTTCTGAAGAATGTAATTCACCATATACTTCAATCCCAGACCTTTCGGTGGATAAACATGATGGTTGTCTGTAATGTCCTCTTCTTCTGAATGTGGCTTATCTGGCGATCCCTCAGTTCTGAAAAGCTCTCGCTGCGTTTGAAACAGATGCCATTTGGCGACATATTTGTGCAGACATGAACGTCGCAGTTTGGTACAAGGACAGTACCAAGAGTCTAAATTTGTGTTATATACAACCATGACACGACCTAAACGACTATAAGACGATACATTGGGTTCAAAAACTGAAATGAACTTTTTTGCTGACGAGATCCCAATCGAGGTGTGAACAGAAAGCGGTACACAGCTACTATTAGCAAGCTGTTGCAGAGCGAGGCATTCTTTTTTCTTTTTCTCGCTGAACCATTTTCCTCTCACCATCTCGGTTAAAATGTCTTCCTCCAGCAAGACTTGTTCAACCAAAGACTTGCAAAAGCTCGCTGCACTGATATGCATGCACTGGTACGATGTGATGCCGCTCCTCTGCGCAACATCTATGTTAATCTGGCACTCATTCGATTCGCAGAGGATTCTGTTGTTTTCTCCCAATGTCTGGTATTGGACGTGAAGCGGGATGCCGTGGCCTTTTACGACTTTGAGAACTGCAAATATCCCATTTGTCTCATCTATACATTGGCTTGTAAGCTGAAATGTCTCACCGATGTCCAATATCGACTGATCTGTGTGTTTGCGCTCCATATGTTTTGGTAGGTTGTTTTTATTGATGAGTATGTTGCACGATGGGCATCTTTTTTTAATAACAGGCCGCACGCGATACTTTCCTGCTGCTGTGGTGGTTGATGGTGTGTCTGTGATCGTCAGAGTGGTCATATCCGTATTGGTGTTTGGCGGTGTGTATGGGATTGAAGGAACGGACTCTGCTGTATCGATGACTGATGGTGTGTTTATAACTGTCGGAGAGGTCACTGGCGTACTGGTGCTTGACAGCGTTTTTGTGGCGGATTCGGAATTCGGATTATGTTTACAGACTTCTAAATGGTTTTTAAAATCGCCTCTTCTAAGAATTGTTGTTGGACAGTACATGCAGTGGTAATGGAGTGATGCTCTACAGCCCAGTCCACATCTGTGAATAATGAAATCTTAAAAAACAAAAAAAACCTGCATATTAGTAAAATATATTTATGCTACACATAATAATAATATATTAAAATGCACGTGTAAAGAAAATGTTTATACCTCCATGGACAACTGCTTTGTTACAGTGGCTTTTCAAGTGTAATTTGACTTTGTCTGGTCTGCTGGGCTTAAATATACTGGTCATACAAAAGGGACAATGAAAATTGTTGCAGCATTTTGTGCATCTCTCCAACGGAGGAAATTTTTGATCTTTCTGAATGGTAATATGTCTCTGCAAAGGAAAGAAAAACAGAGTTAAGACTACATAGCTAGGTGTTCTAATCAGGCACTGAATAGAGCACCCATTAAAGAGATAGTTACTCAAAAATGAAAATTCTGTCATCACTCAGCCTCACGTGTTTCCCATAATCCATAATATTTTTATTTCTCTTGAATGGTTAACACAAATGAAGATATTGTTAATGTAGGTAATGAAGGTAATCAAAACTTTGATGCTTCAAAAGTTCATAAAGAGATTGAATCAAGCGTTTTAATCGCAGTTTTCTGAAGAGACACAAATGCTTTATATCAGGGGTGGCGAACGTCAGTCCTGGAGAGCCGCAGCCCTGCAGAGTTTTGCTTCAACCCTAATCAAACACACCTGAACAAGATAATCAAGGTCTGAAGGGTTACTAGAAAGCTACAGGCAGGTGAGTTTTAATTTGGGTTGGAGCTGAACTCTGCAGGGCTGCGGCTCTCCAGGACCGGAGTTCACCACCTCTGCTTTATATGATGAACAGATTTCATTTAGGCTTTTATTTACATTTAAACATTAATCATTTACATTACATTTACATTTAGTCATTTAGCAGACGCTTTTTAGATTGAATAGAAAAAATAGAAAGCTAGTTTTTTGTTTTGTTTTATTTTAATAAAAAAAAGATACATATAAAGTAGAATTAAAATAGAATAGAAAGTGCTAGAGTTAGAGGGTCAAATAAAGGTGGAACAGATGTGTTTTTAGTTGTTTCTTGAAGATGGTTAAGGACTCAGCTTAATCAATGCACATACATAGAGCAAGAGCACAGAATATGTAAGAAGCTCAAACATGTTCCTGTCACATGTGAGAATGTATATGCACTGATCAATATTTATATGTGAACGAATGGACTTTAAAATGGAATGGCAGAAATCATTCAAGTTTCATGAAAAATCTTCATCTGTGTTTTAAAGATAAATTACAGTTTTTTTTTCTTCTTTTTGGTTTGGAACGACATAAGGGTGAGTAAATGGTGACAGAAGTTTTATTTTTGGATGAACTATTTCTTTAAAAGGTCTGTCACACCAGGCCGTGGTACTTGTTTTCTTTCTTTCTTTTTTTAGATTGAGTTATTAACATCTCATACATGATCTATTTATCTTTTTCAGCAGCAAAGACGCCTTAATAGCTTTAAGATTGTTCTGTATTGAGATTAAATAATCATAAAAGATCTTTAAATCAGAGGAAAACAGTCAAACATTTGGTACAGTTGACATGTATTTTGCTTTGTGTAGGGTATATGATATTAATTTTATTTACATATTCACATTTAATTTACAGTAATTTACATCCGCAGTCCCTAGGCAGGTGCATACAAAAACAGAATTTATTAGGAATTACATATTTATTTATATCTGACAGTTTATGAACAAAAAAGGAATAATCATATTTCCACTTCATGACAGCATTAGGAAAAACACTTTTTTTTCTGTGGTTAAAATCTTTCCAATATAAAAGTTAAAGGGGTCATATGATGCTGCTAAAAAGAACATTATTTTGTGTATTTGGTGTAATGAAATGTGTTTATCCTTGATGAAAAGGCCACCGATAGTGAGATTGGGATTGGTTAGACAACCAATTACAGGTTTATACATCTTTTCATCTTTGTTGATGAAAAGGCTAGTCTTATCTAATTTCCAATCCACACATCTAAAGCTTGTTAAAAATTGGATAACTTAATGGGCAGTTTGGTGCATTTAAAATCACAGTAAAAATTGAGACATTTACTGAAAATTAAGTTGAGGATTAAGAACCACGCAGAATTATTCTCACCGAGAAAGTGCTATATCCAATTAATTTTTATAGATATTAATAGTGATAAAATCTAAAGCATTTAACCGTTACATTTGTCATTAACCGTCATTAACTAGCGATAGTTGATTACCCCGTAACCATGTAACGACTATAAAGACTTTAGTGTTTGATTCATTTCATTACTTTGTTAACTTGCATAACTTTGCAGCCACACACACACACACACACACACACACACACAGAGAGAGAGAGAGAGAGAGAGAGAGAGAGACGCACGCGTATGCATTGCAAGAGATGTAGGAGGTGTTAAGAAGCTTTGAAAAAAAAAAACACATTTACAACAGGACCTGCAACGAAACCAGTTTAATATAATCAAGACGGATTCATTTCCGTGATTCCGCACTGGTCGCGTAGGCTACAAATCAGCACACAACCGCAATCCCCAGGCCACCTTTTCCAGCAAACCCGGTTGTGCACCAAAAGTGCTGGTGTTTACCGATAATGTTAAAACGAATAAAACATCACAAAGGCACCAACTTACCGTCGTCCTCGCCATAATTCTGTGCTATTTAGATACTCTGTCCGGAGACCGCTGGCCCAGTCCTGCTGTCCTGAACTTACTGCAAAATGGCTGCAATGTTTATTCTTCTTCTTCTTCTTCCTCTTTTTTATTTTATTGGCAACCGCACTTAACAGTGCATTACTGCCATCATCAGGTAGCTTGGATCAGGCTGCAATATTTCGTCGTTTCCGGTGTCTTCATGCTCAGCCCCCCGCAGAACCCTTACGTCAGAGGCGTCTGGCTGCTTGGCAACCAGATCAGAAGCCAACAACACAAGTAGAACATATCATATACGGGTGAGTGTTTAATGTTACTGACATATGTCTTCTCTTCTGCTTTAATACGTTTAATGGTGAAAATGTTTGAAAAGTTTTTGCAGACTCCGTCATTAGTTGTATAACTTCAGAAGCGGCGCTTTTGAAATAGAAGTGTAGGCTACTCCTAACGTTAATTGCGAATAACATACAACGGAGTGTTGGAAAATACTGCTTTTTGTTTGCACTTTAGTATGGGTTGTCATCTTACCCTACTATTTTATGAATTATATGACTATGTTTGAACAGCACATGAAATGATTCTTATCTTAAGAATAAGAAAAAAAAAGCCTACTAACATACTTGCCCATATTATTTATATGGCGCAAATAGTTAGAGTAGTATACTAACGTTAGTATGCTATTCCGAATTCGGACACTCTAGCCTCACAACCAGAGAAAACAAACATTTGAATTTGTATTTGGACTCAAAAGATAGTAGTTACTGAGAAAAACATATTTTGACAATTCCCCATGTGTGACAACTAATAACTAAAATATCCTTAATTTATCATTTTGTTTATTCTACGTTGTACTACATTAGGATTTTAGCATGTGCACTACACTTACATGGTGCTTGTTCCAAAAGTCAGCTAAGACTGCATTTTTTGGTGTCCTGTTGCTTTGCCTCAGGTCCCATGGTTATTTTAATTTATTTATTCCCCCCCCCCGGGAGGTGAAGACCATGCGTCGCTCAGCTGCCAAATCACGGGGCGATAAAAGCCGCACTGATTCTGTCCCAGGTAATGCTGCTTCGGTCCAGCCTGTTGAGACCGTGGACATTGTCCCAGGCCGCCTTACAGAGTCCACCTGGACCAGCATGCTCTCCCAGGAGGAGGGTGAGGAGGTGGTGGTGGATATCATAGCAGAACTGATGGAAGAAGTGATGGACAGATGCTATCAGGTGTATCTGCAAAGACAGGTGAGAAGAAAATTCACAGAATTTTTGATAATATGTCTATTTATATAGCACTTGCTTTGTAAAAGTTCAATTCCATATGCTTGTATGCTAGTTTTGGCTATTTTATTTATTCATAGGATGGGTTATACCATGTTATGGTTAAACAGGCTACAGAGTGTAATCATCTAGAGTCTAGACAATACACCAGTGTTATTTTAGTATCATTGTGATATTATTATAGTTTTTATTAATATTTTTTAATATATTAATATATTTTATTCTATTTTAATTTTAATTTTAAAGTTTTAGTCATTTTGTTGAGTCTGTTTTATTATTTATTTATTTATTTTTAAATAAATATGACTGCATATTTATAACTTTTATTTCAGTTATAGTTTGTTTAGTTAGCTGTGATGGATTGAAGTGTTGTTTAACAACATACCAATATTTCAGCTGACGAAACATCTTTCCAAAAGACTTTAACTACACAAAAACTCCATAAAACAACATTTAAAGTTGTGAGTTTTGACAATTACATGATCTAGGACTTTTTTACAGCACAGGCCATTGTAAAGACTGTAAGCCTATCCCTCACAGCCTCATTTTCATCCATGTAAAATTCAATATGGCGTCTAACCAGATTAAGGTCTGAATATGAATAGTTTACTTACAATGGAAAAGTTCTGAGGCATTCATTTAGCTCATACACAAACTTTCTATCTTCCAACCAGTTGATACCCTTCTCTGTGTGGTGGGCACAAAATAACCTGGTGGAGACGCTAGAATGTCTGATCCTGAGGAGAGATGAAGGGGATGATTCAGAACATGAACTCTTTTGGCAAGAGGATCAAGAGCCCCAGCCCTGTGCGATTGATTCTTGGGCTGAAGGATCTGTACCTGTGCTTCATGCTGCTCTGGAATAGCACAAGGTAAGAAAAGGTGGGATGTAGAAAGTAGGGGGTCAGGGCAGTGAAATTCTGACTTTAAGATGACTTTCTTAACATGTTATATTTTAGGTCTGACATCCCAAACAGCCTGAAGTGAGAAGACTGGTGGACCGGACAGAGGTTTGTTATAACTGAAACCAAAATCCTGTTGCTCACAAACTGTCATTTGTTAACCCAGAAATTAAATTAAATATTTATATTAATATGTCATAATTTATTTTATATCTAATAAATAATTTCTGAAGGATCATGTGGCACTGAAGACTGGAGTAATGATGCTGAAAATTCAGCTTTGCGTCACAGGAATAAATGACATTTTAAAGTATATTAAAATAGAAAACTGTTTTGAATAATATCAACAAAATACAAACTTCAAAGATTATTCTGGTAGGTACTGACTATACATAAATGTCTCAACAGAACTACTCCACCTTCAACCTGCTACCGCTCAATGCCAATAGAGTGATGATACCGAATTATTCACGAAAACTAAAGAAAATCTGACTTCCTTAAAACTCAGTCCAAACATAAGCAAAGGAACTCAAAAGAAGCAAGTCTCTGATCCTCTTACGGTATAATTGCCTCTATTGCTTGCCAAGTTTAGTCCTAATTCACTTAAGAACTAAAAATATAATTTCACGGGTGTCTCAGCCTCAAAACACTGACTCAAACACAGTTTGGGCCTGAGGTGAGGAAACAGTGATGCCATGAGCTCCAAAAACTCATGAACTGATGTTGTAGCCCTTAGGCCACAGCTGGTAACAGACCAGAACAGAGTGAACCAAGGCTGAAAAAAAAAAATCTTTAAAAAGTCATCTTACCCTACTATAAAATATGAAAAAATAAATTAATAACATGTACTGGAGCATCCCTCTGCAAACAATGTAAAGACATTTCTTACTGCACTATTTTGTATTGAGTAAATCAGTGCCTTGCCTGCATTTTTCTGTGACTGTTGTGGCAGTAATAAACATTTAGACCTAATTCATCTTCGACATCTGTCTTTTATTCATACCTGCAATTCAATGAATAATTTAATGAATCCACACAATATTATTAATAATATTAACTTAATTTGGTGGTATGCCAAAGTAATTTAATTAAGTTTTTGTTTGCATAGTGTTGGTTTTTTTTTCCGTCCAGCCAAAACTACACTGTTAAAAAAAAAGAAAAAAGTACTGGTCATTTTCTGCCAGGATATTATCCATTAATTTTATAGACATATCTGTTAACCCTAAAACTTAATGCAGTGCAAAATAAAACACAGGTAAAACAATTAGAAAATTTCTTAATATTACTACTGTACATTATGCCCTATTTTTATGGATTTTGACTGTCCACACTAATCCAGAAAAAGTATATAATGCACCATCACCCAAGCACTTTTCTGTTTTAATGAGCAATTCTGTATCCGTTTCTATTCATGATACTGACTCTTGTCTATTGTACTTAAAGGGGTCATATGATGTTGCTAAAAAGAACATTATTTTGTGTATTTGATGTAATGAAATGTGTTTATGCGGGAACGGCCGGGGGCTTGAGAAAGACACGGCCGGTGGATTCGACGAAGGAGCTGCCGGTGGGCTTGCAGCAACCACATGTGACGACCCCGGGCTGGACTCCGCTTCGTCCACAGTGAAAGCCGATCCGGCGATCCACAGCACGAAGCTGATGTATTTCCTCAGCGAACTCAGCATGACGAAGCAGATATCGTCCTCTTTTGGAAGGCCAAACAAAGTAGTTTCGCTTTCACAACAAAACACACAGCGCCTTCATGATATGCACCAAGAGCTTGTAACACTCCAAAGAGAAAGGAAAAATTGAAATCGCATCATATGACCCCTTTAAAGTAGACATGTAATCCAATCAACATGAACAACAGTTGTCATGGGAACCTCACTGGAACTCAGGGAAACTAAGTCACTGTGGTTTCATGTGTTTTTATATACAGGCTTCTATAAAAAGATAAAAATATATTCAGGGACTCATGAATATTCAGTAAACAAAATCATATTTATTACATCCTCACACTGTGGTTTAAGAAGTGTGGTGAAATGTATAGGCCTATGTGCAGTGGCGGCTCCAGGATTTTTTTGTTGAGGGTGCTAAGCGGGGCTTAACAGTTCAGAGGGGGTGTGAAAAAACGAATTGAGTGAAATTAATGAACGACTATGTAAGCTTCAGCTATCTAAATAACATGCAAATTCAGCCACCTTGTGTTTTTTATATAGCCTACAGCAACTTCGAAAAAGGCTAATTTTAGATTTTTTTCTGTGGTTTTAAACTTCTCATATGCCACTGTTATTAGTAATATAACTTCTAATGCCAACTGCCAACTATGACACTTTAATAAAATTTATGAACGCACATAGAAAAGAGAGAAAGTGGGATTTTTTCCCCCTTTTTTATGGTTTTATTTTATTTATTTATTTATTTATTTTTAACACATATCTATTTAGTCATTTTTTCTGACCATCAAGTGTCAGTCACTCTCAATGCCAGCTGGCAGGAAAACATGGTAAATTCTAACCATTTTTTTTTTACAACAGATAAAGTGCCGACAATTCATACAACTATTTCCACACAGTGGTGGTATAGCGGACGGGCACGCAGGGCCTATTAATTATATTAATTATATTTATTATAAAAACAGGTCTATTAATTTATATAATGAATTATAGGCCTATAATTAAAATTATTAACACTGCAGTCATCAATGAAAATTAAGGGCAGCTTTATTTCGGCCACAAGACGGGCCACAAGAGAAATATTAAGGGAATAATTTAAGACAGTTATATACCGTTTTCAGCATATGTTGAAGTAGTTTCGTCTCTCGTTGTTTCAGAGAATATGCGGCGTTAATGCAGCGGTAGAAAGCGCCGTCAGTTTTTTTTACTTTCACTTTCTCCGTGGTGAATTTACTGACGTTCACCGGCATAACTCTTGCGCACAGTTTGCGCGTTGTGTTGCTTGACCCCTCCCCCATAATATCAATTGTTTATAGGCCACATATTAGACCTTTTTTTTTTTTTAGGTTTTTAATGTTTATTTTTCAATGTTAATAAAAGTGACACCAAAAAACAGGAACATCATTAGGAAATCCTTGGGGGGCTGTGCCGGGGCTAAGCAAGTTTCTGATGGGGCTATAGCCCCGTCAAGCCCCGCCCTAGCGCCTCCTCTGCCTATGTGCTATAAGTTGTTTTGACACATCTGAAAGAATTATGTACATTTATAGATGGAGCCTATTGCTGCTCCGGTCCCAGAAATTCAGACGACAAGAAAATTGGTTTAATGGTTTCAAAAGCCTTGCTTAGCTAGCCTCAGATCTCATCTAAAATTCCCAGTTTACACCAGTGAGGTTGACATATCAAAAACACTTGCAAAATTAATATTGAATAAAAAAATTTTTTTTGTTGATTAAATTAGATTTCATTCAGGCAACTACTTTAAAATATGTCATGAACATTATTAAAATATCTGAAGATGAATTCAACCAGATCATGTTAGTAAATGTTGCAGCACTTATGTTTTTGCTTTAACTTTGAACTTTTATAAGTCAAGTCAAGTTTATTTGTACAGCGCTTTTCACGATACAAATCATTGCAAAGCAACTTTACAGCAAATTAAGTTTCTACAATATTTAGTGGTAGCTTATCAGTGGTGACTGTCAATTAATGTACATATGGCAGAAATGTACGGAAAAATCAATTTAATCGTTACAGAAGACTTCGCCCCACATGGAACCAGCAGCGATCTATCAGCTCACCACCGAGGTTTCTGCCCAGGCCTCCATAAGCGCTGGACTGGGCCACTGCTGCATGGGAAGGGAGACGGCTGTCATTCCCATCATTTGACTGCTTTCTGAGATGTTTTCGCGAGGTTTTCGAGCATTCAGCGGGCGGAAAGGTGCCTTCTACTCTCGTAAACTCAACTCTGCGGAACAGAACTATGATGTGGGAGATCGGGAACTTCTAGCCATGAAGGCAGCTTTGGAGGAATGGCGTCACTGGTTGGAGGGGGCCAAACTTCCCTTTGTTGTTATTACTGATCACCGCAACCTCGAGTACCTCAGATCGGCCAAACGACTCAATCCACGGCAGGCAAGATGGTCCCTATTTTTCACACGTTTCAATTTCAAGGTAACCTATCGTCCTGGTTATCCCCTGTCTTGACTTATCTTGTGTATTACCTTTGGACTGTTATTACTCGTGTGATTCTCTGCCGCCTGCCCCGACCCTCGCTTTGTTTCTGTTTACTCTCCTGGATTATCCCTGCTGCTCGTGACGCTGTTGATTGATTACTGCCTGTTTAACTCTGCCTTTGATTCAAATAAAAGCTGCAAATGGATCCAAACACCTCTGACTCATCGTTACAATTGAATTGATCAAGAGTGACAGTAAAGACTTTTACATTGCTGTATAGTTGTTTTAATTACTGTTCTTTTGAACTTTCAAAGAATCCTGAAAACATTTATCACAGTTCCCACAGAACTTACATTTTAAAATATATTAAAATAGAAAACATTTATTTTAAATTGCAATGATATTTCATAATATTACTGTTTTGTATTTTTACTGCTTTTACTAAAAACAGTTACAAATCTTACACGCCCCCAAAATTCTCTACAGTTACAAAATTAAGGATGAAAACTATAATAATTATTTAAGAGATTTTATTGCTTTGATGCATTCTTTTATTTGTGGGACAATATCCATATCATTTTTGTTTTTTACTTTACAACAACCTTTGGGGCAAAATGGGGCAAATGTAACATTCCGACCTGTTTTATTAAATCCAATATTATTATAATATTATCAGGTCTTAATGTTTGTAAATAATACAATTATTAATTTATTTATTCATCTTAATTACATATTGTAAATATTTCAGTATTTTAGGCACTATTACTATTGGCACATACATGCATCCATTTCTTATCCCAAAAGATGTTATCAGGGAAAATGTTACAATTGTCCCCAGTCTTCCCTCCTTTCAATCTGTTTTTGCGAACAACAAACAAAACTAACTATAATATACAAGATAATTATTAGTTTTTGAACCATTATGGAGTTGCATAAGCTTTAAACAATTTCATCCACACCAGCTGGATTGCACAAACTCAGCTTTATCCACAATCATTCATAATTTCCACCACAAGATGTCGCTGCAAAACCATAAACAGTCCCCGCATGACAGCGTTTTACACTGACAACATGGAAACTACTCAGTTACAAAATGTACATTAGTTCAGCTGTGGAAAAACAACCTCATGATTATTAACTGCACGATCGTTTTATACCTGATTAAATGACACAAACTGGTTCTAGATGGAACCAGTTTGCTTTAACATTTGCACAAAACAAGCAACATCAGTATGAATGCCGTAAGCTCATGAATATTCATGCAAGTAAAGGCCTGTGGGGACTGGAGCGTTCTTGGAAATGGAAACATTGGGTTGGAAAAACATAACCCGCCTTCTTTACAGCGATTAAAGACATTCAAGTGAACTAAATAAAGAGCATCACTGCTAGAAGCTCCTCCGTCTTTATGCTGATAGACTTAATGTAGCCTATCAATCTTGAGTCAGTACCACACAGGCCTAAAATTAAATGCTAGAAACGTTCCAGCCAAAATAAATGGAGTGACTCACAAATGCTGGTTCAGCGTCAGTGGAAAGGATGATATGAGATTAGAAGAATTTTGGGTAAAATCATAAAAAGATATTCATGTAGACTGTGATCTCAGCATTGATCCACGGGCTGCTGTCTTCCTTGCCCTTTGGCTGCCAAAAATAAGAATGAAGTACAGATGTAAAATGCTTTTATTCCTCCTCTGAGAGTAAAATTAGAGCCAGAGGGCCTATTAAGGTGAGATTGCAAAAGACCTCCCGCTGTTTTATTCTGTTCCCGAAGAATAAAAAAGAAGTTCCAAAACGTCTAAAGAACAAGCGTGGCATACTGATGACTATTTAAAGGTCTGTCTGCGCTCAGCCATACCTGCGCTGTTCTGATCATTACACTCTCTCATGACCTGATTTTCTA